TGCTTGTTGCCTCTCCTCTAAAATCTCTGAAAAAAGCTCCTTAAATAGGCTCCAAATAACCTAACTTTCGAAATCTCATTAACTTTCTTTATTTTTTGGAAAGTCGTGCAGCGCTTCTCCAGCGCTGCAGCGCTGAGCTCTCTGAAAATTTGTATGTGTGCTTCCTTTCATCAACGCTGCAGCCTTGTTTTCCCAGTACTGTGGCAGTCTATCAACTTCAAACGTGAGTTTCACCCTGATATGTTAGGAACTGGGCAAAGTAGTAAACATAAAAGTTTTATCCCTGTCTCTTAACTTTCCAATGGATTAAGAATACATCAATTGGACTTCTGGATTGAAAGATTTCCTCCAAATACCGCATCATGTTCAGTCTTTACATACTGCTGCAGTGGTCCGACTTTGACAAATATTTTGACCATGATCCATTCAGAACTGGGTGAATTGATACAACTAAACTTTGTAGCTCTTCTTTTTAGGATTCTAGTGGTTCAAGAATCACTTCATTTGGAGTTTTTTAGAGAGAGATATGTTCAAAATACCGAAACATATATGAACAAAGTCATGGCCATACTTTCACTGATTTTCATCAAATGAGCCTTTTTCATCAATTTCTTACAAAAGTCATAAGAGAAATTAGCAGTAACTACTCTTAAAGAATTTAAAACAAAACAACATAAAATTTAACTAAAATAACTTAAATTAATCTCTTAACAAGTAATCAAAACTTAAACTAGAAAAACACTTAAAATGCTAAAATTCGAACCTAAAATCTCAAAGATCTAGCTACTTCAACTCTCAAAATGAGTCAAAATAACTCTATATAATAGAGTTATCAAGATTGGACCGAAAATTGGAATAGCATGTGTTCAACTCACTTAGTTGTATAGGTGACTTGATTTGTAATTAGGATAGAAATATACTTAAATGCCACATGCACTCATGTTAGAACAAATGCTTAAAGAACCTTTTTTCAATTGATTAACATAGATATATAGTGAGTCAATTAAGAATGGTATTTGTTCAAGGACCTTGACAAAGACTTGTACATAATTTTGGACTCTTGGCTAGCAAACAACCCATTGGAGAAGTTTGGCATTTTTAAGGTTTCATCATTGGAGAAGTTATTTATTTAATTATATAACCTTGTCTTTTTATTTTATTTAAATATTTTTGTAAATCCTTGGGCAGTGAAAATTTTTCAAAACCTCTAAACACTCATAGCATAATTTTGGACAATTTCCTTACCCAAAAATTCCTAAGAAGCCACTTTTGGCATTCTTGAGATTTTATCATTAGAGAACTTACATAAATTACGTGAACTCCTAATTTTTAAATGTCTCAAAAAAACATAAATAGAAATTAAAATTAAAATTATTTATAAAAATAACTTACCTAATTGGGTTGACAAACCCAAAAAGAAACCAAACTACAAATTCAAATCCCAAGCGTGAACTATTAGGAGTGAGGAGCACTTTTCTAAACCCTATTCAAGAAACTAGAACATCCTTTCTTTTTATCTCTTCCTTTAAGCAAAATAGTTTCCTTAGAAAATAAATTGATTTTCCTAGATCTAAATGAAATTGAAACCCAAGAACCTAAGAACTATTTTCTCTCTCTTTTTTCTATTTTTGTTTTCTTCCTTCCCTTTGACACTGATCCTAGACTATATTTGTAGCCAATGTATTTTAGTCCATCTTAAATTGGTTTCTTGAGTTTTCATTTAATCTAACTTAATCTCTCTTTAGACTTTCAATTTGATTAGGATTAGTGCACACATATCCTCCCTTTTTTTGTTTTTTATATTTATTATTTTTTTAATTTCAAAATTCAATATCTCAAACAAAATGGGGTGTCTACACATGACATTTTCTTGCTGATGTGTTATTGGATATGATGACCTGTAAATGATGATGTGGCTTTTTTTTCAATCTATTTCACGACTTTAAATTATAGAGCACAAAAATTCAATTCTTCTTTATCTCACAACACTTTTTCCCTAAATTTTAAAAAACCTATTAATATTTTTGATTTGTTTCTTTTTCCAATCCTATTTAAAACCAATAGCTCATATTGGGTAATTCTATGTTTGCACTTATAAGATCCACATTGGTGTTGGGTCATTACATGTCGGTACTATTATTATATCATTTGTAAAATGTCACATCATCATTATCATATCATTAAATTTAATATCACATCAATAAAAAAAATATCATGTTAATATAACTAAATGCCATATAAACATAGATAGCAAAAAAATTTTAATACATTGGACTGACATTATTAATTTTGAAAAATATAAGATTCAATTCTTACAATTTTTTTATAAAGACTAATCCACAATTTTAATAAAATATAAAAACTAATTATCTAATTTGACCTAATATAATTATGGCAATTGTACAAGTTATAAGCTAAATCGATGTTAATTTGTTAGATAATGATGCAGTTGGATTACTATACTCTAGTCTTCTTCTTCTTCTTACCGCCCCTAGAAATTCTAAAAGCTCAAGCTCTTTCTTGTTCCAACTTTATCTTAAAAAACTCTCAGCATGTGAGAACATTAAGTCCTGTAACATTCAACCTAACCATAGCAATTCGTTCTAAAACAACATTTGGAAAAACAACATTCGGAGAACCTGGGAACCGACTAGACCAAAAGAAACACCCTACATTGAAAATTCCAACTTGGGTTTCTCTTACCCAACTTAATAATTATGGAAGAAAAAGAAAAAGAAAACGAAAACAAAAGGGCTTGGAAAAAGATCAAAGAATTCTTTCTTTTTCATTTTACTTTTTGGTAAACATGCTTCTGATTGTCTGATTCTTGCTGCAGCTAATAAATGATTTCCCAAATTAAAACATTTGTTACTAGACAGTAATCCTTAATCCTAAACTTTATAATATTATTACTACTAATATTATTAGAAGCATTTATTATTTGTTTTTAAAAAATAAAAGTGAAAAATCATTGACCGAAGAAGTTCAATGACAAGTCAAAATTAATGCTGTCAAAAAATGGGCAAAAAAATTAAAAAAAAAAACCGGCAGTCACAATTCCTCTTCAAAATGATAAAGGCAAGAAAGACTACAGTGAGCATGGGGGCTGACGTCAATGAGGAATGATGATGGGTTGGCGAGTAATTTCATGGGGCAGTTGGTACAGGTGTTGTTAAGGTTCATGCATCCTTCCATCTTCTGGTTTAGATACATTGTCAGTTTTCTTTGGATATATATGTATGTCTTTATCAGCTTACAATAATCCAATGGCCTGGCCCTCATCCATCCAAATATAAATATTTTTATTATTTTATTTGAATTTGAATTAGAATTAAAAACTATTAGAAGATTTTTTTATTAATATATTTATATAAATAATATCTCAAATATTTAATTTATTAATTGTTATTTAAAAAAATAAAATTCGAATTCATTTTTTTAATTAAAAAAATATTTATATAAATAAATAATTTTGTGTGAACCTTTTTCAACTTTTTATTTGTATGCTCGTGTTAAGTGAGGAGCCAGGAAATGCAACGCCCCTTTCTTTACGTCTATCTTTTCGTCGCAACTTGGAAAAGGAATCTCCCTGGAAACAGCCGCTTTTGTCTTTTTACTTGTCAAGTGGCTGCAGCCTAACGGCCTTGCAGTATGATGGGCTGAAGGGCCGAGCGCCTGCCAATTGCTACACGCGGGACACGTGTAAATAGTGAGCTTGCTCTTTTTCTCGCATTTATCATTTTTTTCTTAATATTTAATATTCGTTTTCAAAAAACTTTATAAACCTGTAAGTTGCTTCGACTTTTGGTGGCACGAGATAATTATTACTTACTATTATAAGTGTTAGATACCCTACTTATTCAATATGAAATTGAAAAAAACTGATTTCATATAAAATTAAAATATCTTAATTTGTTTTTTCAAAAGAATTGGACATGAGACATTGAGAATTACCCTTTTTTTTAAAAAAAAAGCAAGAATTACCTTTTTCATTAGTTAGTATGATAATGAGTCATCAATATTACTCAACCAGAAAGTCACCTCTTATTGCGACCAATAAATCTTATAGTTTCAGATTTGATAATTCGTATATTTATGTTTTAATTATATCATGTTTATCATATGATGTAAATATAAAGCATTAATAATTATATAAATAAATATAAATATAATATAATTAATTAATTATATTAAAATTTTAAATATGTACACAAAATACATTTAATAAACGTGTAACGTGACATGATTATCACATTTAACAAATGTGTAGGGTTAAATTTTATATGACACAATTTATATAATTAAAATTTATACGATTTATAACTTATTTACATTATTGATATGATTAACATAATTAAAACCATTAAATTAAAATATATATAAGTACAATATGATTATATAATTCAAATTTATAACAAAAAAAATATAAATACCATAATATTTATCAAATATAATAAAATTCAACATCAATAAATTTTAATTACCATAAAAATATTAATATTTATATAAATAAATAAATATTTTTTAATTATATATTAAATGTGTTTACATAATAAGTAAACATAATTAAATAAATAAATAATAAATGAGTTACATGTTATACGGATACAACGATAACATAATTAATTGATTTAACACGATTAATCATATCGATATTATTAATACACAAAACATGATTAGTCTCAATCCAACATTACTTGAACTCGTATCATGTTCGTGTCTTATACAAAATTCCCAAATCTAATTTGAACCAATCTTCAAGTGATAAACATTTGACTTTTTGCTTCAGCGATTGAGATAACGAACCATAAGTACAGGCTTAATTAAGCTGTTAGACAAGTCAATATCGCTAAATCTATACTGTAACATGATTTTTATATGGAGCCCTTTTATCCTTTGCAATGAATGCCTAAAAAGAGAAAAGTTTAGCATACTAAAATTAATTAATGGTATTAATTAATTATCAGATTTGAGTTTCAACCATTAAAATGAGAAGTTAATTTAAAAAATTCAATTTTCTCATTATCAACGGCAAATTTGCTGCTGAAGGAAAAGGAGGATAGGAATGTACAAAAGGAGAAATAAAAAAAGGAAACAAAAATCCGAATCCGGAAAGTATCTACAAAACTCCTCCGCTAGATTCACCATGAACAATACCCGGCGTTGGAAAAAAAATCTGTTCGGGTATCCGGATGAATCTAAATGTTCGGGTCGGGTCGTTTCAACTAATCGGACGTCGGATGACTACGCAGAAACGGGTGATCCAAAAGCTGAGAGGCCGTCCACCTCTTACTAGACTCCTTCTGCAAGCAACACTCAATGAAGCTCCTGAACTCATCGGAAGTACCCTGTGGCAAGGTCGGTGGATCCCCGAAGCAAATTGCACACATCAGGGTTGCCCAGTCGGGTCTTTGACCCGGCGACAGGAACGGAAAGTGACCCACATAAAGTTCCATTAAAGTAAGCCCCAAGCTCCATATATCTCCCAGGTAACCATCGTAATTACCTCCATGGGCGTCAGGGTCGAACCTTTCGGGACTCATGTAAGCGCAGGTGCCGACGTAAGAGTTGCATGGATCCAACCTCCGAGACATAATCTTGCTCACTCCAAAATCAGCTATTTTCACCTCCATGTTCTTGTTCACCAACAGATTCGAAGGCTTGAGGTCTCGGTGAATGATTTTATGGGCATGTAAGTAAGTCAAGCCTTTGAGAATTTGTCTGGTTATATGAGCCAGTTCAGTCTCTGAGAAGGTGCCGCGGCTACGGAGGAGGGTATCCAAAGTGCCGGCGTCCATGTACTCCATGAGTATAGCAACATCCCCAGAAGGCTTCACGTATGTTCCGTAGCAACGAACGATGTGAGGGGAATCCGTCCGTCGTAGAATCTCCATCTCTCTCGAAACTTGTCTATGAACAGTCAGATCGCTGTCGCCGTTAACCACTTTCAACGCATAAATCTTGGAGGTGCGTTTATGTTGTACTTTATAAACAGTGCCGCCGTTACCATGGCCGAGCACTTGGAGCTTATCGAGTTCCGTTTGGGAAATAGTAACTGAAGCAGAAGCGGTGGCTGCGGTTGTGGAAGCGGATGGAGGGAGTGGGAGAGGAAAGCGAGAGCAGCGATCGGAGACGTCAGGAAGCGGAAGACGGAGATTAACCTGTCGGCGTTCACGAACTACTGCCATGTGAGGAAGGGTAGTTGAGTGGAAGGTTTTTCTTCGGGGGATAAGATATAATTGAAGGAAAAACAAGGATTTATATAACTTGGAGTGGAAAGTGGAACGTAAAGGGTGACGGCTGGTGGGGGGGAAAGGAAGGTGAAAGGATAGAGACGAGCAGCGGGGTCTACGTTTCTCCTTGGTTGAGTATCAGTGGTTGGATTTGGGTGGCGATTTTTATTTGTGTTTTAGTTAGGGATGTTATCTCTTATATTTGCACGTGATTTAAATGAGTAAAATAATGGTAAAATTCTCTTCTCCTACGCAACATTATATATATTATAAGTTAATAAATTCTAAATTTTCTACTATGAAAGTGAATTAATTAAGTCAAGCCAATGGACTTGAGAGTCAAGCATGGTTCTTACATACCACAAAAAAATTTCCAGCAGCTTCTTTTATTATATTATATTTACACATTTGATAATTGTATATATTTTAGTTTTGGGTTTTCAATTTTAATTATATTAGTATTAGGACTGTAATTTTAATTTTCATCTTTTTATATATATTCGAGCAATTAAGATATAAATATCAATTACGTGTAATAATAATCAATTTAATTATTAAAATTTAATCATCTTGAATTAAATTGGCGAGCACAATTTACTACTAAAATGGTGATAATTTAAAATTTAATTTGGATAACACTTTCTACGAAAGTTCGCCTAATAGTTGAGTCGAATAGAACCTTAATTAAGATTATTGAAATATTTTAATGGTAAAAAATAAGAATAATAAAAGATGAGAAAGCCGTGGGATGTTCAACAACAAAGGAATCTGTGGGTTATTTACAGCGGAGCTGAAGCCAAGACAAACGTGCCAAAGCACCAACGTATTCTTTCTTTAAATTTTGATTTTTCTCATGTCTTGAGTCGTCCTTGAGTTGCTTCCAATCAATATATTTATAAACGTTGGATATGGAATAAATTAAAAGAAAAAAAACATGGGTCAAAGTCTTGCAACTGATTATTTTAATGCACGAACGGATCTGGTCTCATAAATTAAGTTTTTTTATAGTATAATATTTAAAAAATTTTAAATAAATATTAATTTTTCATTACATTCAGTGGACTTTTTATATATTTTTTTTAAAAATAAATTTTTATAAATAATGATTAACTAATTATTATTAACTAAAATATAATTTATCATTCTATATCAATAAAATAATAACATGTTATAGTATATGATAATGTGACACTTAACATGTCATGATGATAAAATCATTGATATTTTTTACCATTCACATCAACTCTATGTGAGTTTAAAATAAAAAATAATGTTTTAACTAATAACGTTAATTCTATTTCATCTAAAATAAAAATATAATAATTTGATTAAATATAATAAAAAAATAAAAATTTATTTAAATATTTTTAAACAATTAAAAAAAATTTCAAGTATTGTTTTTGTTTATTATGATTGAGAGAGACGTCTAAAAAGAAATCTTAAATTCTAATCATTGTAGATTTTTGAAAATTATTGTATTTTTTTATTATGAAGATTTTTGAGTTATATACCATAAGATATAACTCCTTTTTTTTTAAATCAAAATTTTGAGTGTGAAATTTCAAATTTTAAGTGCTAACATATCTTCTAAGAAACTAGAAATGGGTGAAGATGATGAGATCAAATTAATTAGGAAGAGAGCAACATGTAGGTAGGCATGCAAGTTGTGGGCTTGGGGAGACGTACTAAATTAATTAGGGTTGGTTTCTGTCGTTGCGAGTGTGGTTCAAGTTGCCCAATTTGATGTAAGGGAAAGGGGCGGAGAGAACAAGGCGGGGAACACATCCGCCTCAATAATTAATGGAAATGGACCTCTCCCATAAATATTGGTTATCCAGTGCCACTGCCAGTAAATGGAGCTGGTTCAAGCTGCCCCTACTTGCTGATTAGCACACAAAAACCTTCCTCATTTGCATTTATATTAGTTAATATGATTGCTGAATTGGAACATGCCCATCAATGATTAATGGCGACCTCATATTTCATATTTAGAGTTTGCTTTGAACGAACCAAACAAAAAAGTATGTTTTTTTTTTCCTTACTTATTAATTTGGTAGGAACGAAACATAAGAGCATAACAAAAGAAGACATATAGTCATTTTCATATATATTGAAAAGTTTATGAAGGAGAATCACTTATAATTGGGGTTTCCAGGGATCCTTCCCTCTACAAATCAAAATATACAAAATACAGTTTTCCATTTTGGGATTAAAACTTACGGATTATAATGTCTTTTCTTTTTTATTATTTGACCAAAATTAAGATGACATGATATTTTAAAGGGTTTTTTAATTATTTAAAAAATTTTATTTTTTATTATATTAAATTAAATTATTATATTTTTATTTTAAATTAAATAAATTATTATATAATTAATATAGTATCAAAATAAATAATAAAATCTAACATATAATATTAGTGTTACGTGATGAAAAAAGATGCAAAATGTTTTAATTAGTAGTAATTAGTTAATTTTTAATTATAAAAAGTTATGTTAATTTAAAATAAAATATATAAATTTATTATATATAATGAAAAATAAAAAATTATTAAAATAATTGAAGAACGTTGTCAGTAATATACCAATCAAGATATAATAACCACCGGAAAGTGCGAAGAAACAGGTGACCGTCGTTGTCTTGGAGCGTGGGACGCAAGTTGTGAGGTGCCCTGCTCATGATGACAGTATAAAGGACAAAGGCGGCTACGTAATCAAATGCGTAATCTTTTAAAGTAATGGAAATGACAAATGACCCTAATTTTGAGTAGTTTATTCTTTCGGGAACCAGACAAGAAGGAGCCTCACGATTTTAACTCCTTACTACCAGCTCAAAAATATTTATGCCAATTATTCTTTCTTATCTAATATAAATGATTTAGTTTTTTCTTCTTCTTTTTCAAAAAATAATTTTATTTATATATATATATATATTTTAGATTCAATGCTCAAATTGAGACTAAATATTTGAGTACTTTTTTAATTAAAGGTTAAATGTTTTCGATTTTTTATAATTAAAGACTAAGTTAATAAGTGGAAAAAATATATATCACATATGATAAAAAATCACATGAGTTGATGACATGACAACTAACTTGGCATGTTTTTCAAATATTACCATTTTGATCTAAATCTTAGATTTATTTTTTTTTTAATTTCACCCGTTCTACTTAATTTCCTCTTCGATCTAGATCTCCTCAGAGATGAGTACGTGCACGATCATTGATAAGACGATATCAACTCATAACATCAAATATTACAAAATGTATTAACTCACATGTGAAGCCTTTAAGACAATCGCCAATCACCGTTTTGATCTAGTTCATTAGAGATATTTTCAGTATTGTTCCCATAAGTGACATGATTAAGGCATCAAAGTTTCCACACCCCGCAGACCTTAGGCTACCTCTCAGTTAAATAAAAAATTCAATGAAGCACATTTTTTTATAGTTAAACCTATCGGTTGAGTGAATGATTTGTATATGAAGTGTTAACCATTTCCATTAGATGTTAACTTATTAATGATTTGTATGAAATGTTGTGAATGATTGGTAGATATACTAAGATTTGTATGATTTTTGAGTGTCTGTAACCTTTTTAGACGTGAAAAAAGACCTTTTTTTACTTCATAAGGATAATGAAGAACTTATTGGTATTGAAGCACCATATCTTAGTGCAATTGGAGTATTAATATATCTTTCTAGTAATACACGATCTAATATATCATTTGCTGTGAATTTATTAGCAAGAGATAGTTTTTTTCGAATTTGAAGACATTAGAATGGAATTAAACATATACTTTGATATCTCTAAGGAACAATAGATATAGACTTATATTATTCAAATACATTAAAATCAGATTTAATTGATTATGCAAATACAGGATATTTATTAAATCCATACAAAGCTCATCCCAAATAAGTTACTCACTCACATATGGAGGTATGACTATTTCATGGTGTTCTATAAAATAAACTATAGTTATTACTTCTTCTAACTATGCAGAAGTTTTAACAATTCATGAGGCAAGTTGTGAATGTATTTGGTTAAGATCTATAACTCAACATATTTGAGAAATGTGTGGCTTGTCAACCAAAAAAGAAATTTCAACAACATTATATGAGGATAATACTACTTACATAGCACAGTTAAAGAAAAGATACATCAAAAGCGATCGAATAAAACATATTTCATCAAAACTTTTTTCCACTCATGATCTCTAAGAAAATGGTGATAATAATGTTTAACAAATTCGTTCAAGTGACAATCTAACAGATTTGTTTACTAAAGCCCTTCCTACTGCAACATTCAAAAGTTAGTACAAAATATTAGAATGTGCTAGCTTAAAGATCTTAAATAATGTAGTCATCAGGAAGAGTAAAATACACATTGTACTTTTTCTTTCATTAAGGTTTTTCCCACTAGATTTTTCTTAATAAAGTTTTTAATGAGGTAGTATTTCAAAAATGTATTTTTAAAAGGAATTATGTACGTTTTTTCTTTTTACTCAAATTTTTTCTCCATGAGGTTTTTTCCTTGTAAGATTTTAACAAGGCATATTTTTAATACAGGAGGAGTGTTATGAATATTTTTGTGAATATTTATTTATGCTATTTATATCTAGATTTGATGTGAATTAGATTGAATTAGAATTTAATCCATCTAATTCCTAAGTGTTATCTTCTTCTTGCAAACTTTACCAAGATAAGAGGGTTATTTGCCTATAAATAAGCTCTCTTAATTCACTTATAAATAAAGATATTTATCTTGAGATCAAATAAAGATAATATTTAAATTAGACCAATTAAAATTTAATTTTTGATCGTCCAATTAATCTCTAAATAAATCAAGAAAATTTAGAGATAATATTTAATTTTTAACTAATTAAAATTTAACAATTAGTTATTTAATTTATCTTTAAAAATTATGATAATTTGTAGATAAAATTAAATTTTGGTCATTTAATTTAACTTAAAATAAATTAAAATAATCTAAACATAAAATTTAAATTCGACCAATCAAAATGCAAAGGCTTTGAGTTTGGCCAACTAAATGACCATTAATAAGTCATTATAATTTATTATTAATTAAATTAAAATAATAAAAAGATATTCAAAGAGATTAAATCTTCATAACAGTTTTTCATCTGACATTATAAATACAATGCTCATCCAAGCCGTTAAGGAATTCAGAAATCTAGAAGAAGAAGATTTTTGAAGACTCGAAGCTCTGTCGAAGTTCTCAAGCCCAGAACATGTTCAAGATCAAGTCCAAGTCCAAACCCAAAACATGTTCAAGGTCAATTCCAAATCCACACTCTTGAAGTGAAGCACGGAGAGATTAATTTGGAGAATTCCAAAGGTTATAGACTCACACCAAATCTTTGTAATTTATTTATAAATTTTTAAGTTTAAATTTCGACACAAAATTTGTGTGTACAACCTTGTTAAGAAAATATAATTGGGTTGAATTGTTCTTGTTGTATTGATTAGAAAATAAAATATATATACAAGAATGTTTGATTAAATTTGTACAAAAAAATGCCTCGTAATAAATGAAAAAATATATTACAATTTAAAGAAGAGAAAAGTTAATTATATTATTAAAATATTGAAAATATTTATATTTTAATATTTTTGCATTTATTTTAAATAATACTTATTAATATTGTATGTTATTTGGTTGAACGAATCGAATTTGGGCGTTAAAATTCTTATCTAAGGCCTGACCCATGGCAAGTCGAACTTGTGAGCCTGACGGCTAACCCACCTCATTCATAGATTTATTGTTTGATATGTATTGATCAAATCTTTGTTTAAATAAATCTTTTAAATATTCTTAATTTTCTTATATTAAACTCTAGCAAAATATTCATTATGCTTTTGTTTTCCAATGTTTTAAAATGAAAAATGTACAAATTTTACCCAAAAATATCTTGTCTTGTCTCAGTTTTGTCCCAAGTAATTGAAAAAGTGGATCCTCGCTTTTGTTAGACTTTGATTGAACAACTCTCATCAATTATTGCTAGTGGGGAAATAGAGATTAGGACAATGGAAGCGAAATAATTGGAATTTAGTAACATGGGATAAGATATTTATTAGAAAAGGAAATGTTGGCTTTTAGAATAGCTAAAAATGCAATCAAGAGTTAAAATTCAATCCTTGGATTTTTGTCTTTTTCAATTTAATCCTCACAACAACTTGTAAATGCCACGATAATATAATGCACATATAAATATATATTTTAACACAACATATGTATTATTATATAATAGGATATCAAAGTTATTAATTAATTCGGATGAACAACATAAGATTGCTCTTGGATAGGATTTTCAATGCAAAACTGAATGTCTAATTCGAATGATAAGGTTTGTTCTTAGAAGACACGTTTGAGTTTGCGGGATTAAGGAATGTACCTAGTTATCCCTAATTTTAGATATTAAGTTACTGAAATTATTTATTTTATTTACAATTCTATCAAAATTTAATTTAGTTTTGACACTCGTTAATAAAAATGTATACTTCTCCAAAAAAAAAAAATTTAACTAACTTTATCTATTTTAAATGAAGAAACAGATTCTATAATTACATATTAGCGTATCACCATAATAAGATGTATAGCTTGTTATCTACCCCTATACAATTTAAGTGAAGGTATACATCTTTAATATACAAACAAATGTATCTGTCAACACAATATATAGTATACATACCATTGTAATAAAATAGTACAAGTTATTAACTATAGCTTTATAGAATTTAAGTCTAGGATCCAAAATTTACCAAACTTTTCATCTAAGGATTTAACTAATTATTTCTTTCAAATTAGGATGTAACATTTGTTTTTTACTTTATCCATTTAAGGAAAATTGATAACCAAAGTTAGTGATTATTGTGATTGAGCTTGTGTTCGTAACTCTTAACAAAGATAAATTTGCATCCTTTTGTTTCATTAATGACATTTTTTAACTTTTGTTTCCATTTTTTTAAATAGGTGAAATCGAAAGGGTTGTTTCCTAATTCGAAAGAAATATTAGATTAAATCTTAAAATAAAGGATCTAATAATAATTAAATTCTAAAATACCAAGATTTAACTCATAGTGTACATATCATTGTAATAAAATGTACACGTTATTAACTAATTTTATAGCACGACAGAAGAATTTTCATTGAATCTTTTTTGTCAAAAAAATTTTATTAGATATTTTATGGGACTTTCACCAAAAAATGACAAAATATATTTTACAAATTTTGTGATTTTGATCGTTTCTATTAATAAAAAACAAAAAATATATTTATAAAATACAAAACAATATTAAATTATTTTAATAAAAATATATAAATGAGCAAGTCGAAATAAATTGAGCTCAAACTTAACTTTTAAAATGAGAGGCCCATTCAAACCTGCCTAGGCCCGACAGGTTGACACCCCCATTATTAATAATTCTGCTAATAAATATTTTTACCCATTCCTGAAATTCTAATTAGTTTGCTTCTGTTACGGTAAAGTGCCGTATTCACACTATAATCCATCCCAGTACTAGAAAAATTCTGTAGGAGCTTCTCGCCTCGCGCTGCGATTCTTTTTGTCACCAAAAACCCACTTTTTCTAAATTCTAATGTTATCCTTTCAATCAGTTAATGCGGCGTAGAACAATTTCAGATGCCTTGATCGTTTCTTACTGTTGTTAATGGGAACAAATTCTGACTCCAATGCCAACGGCTTAAATTTCACTTGGTGTCCGAACTTTAGCTTTCCCTCGCAGCTCAAGGTACGTAAAATTTCTTTCGCCTTTCTCTTCTCCAGATTGCTTGGTGCTGATTAGTCTGTAGAGATTGTAAAGAGTAAGATCGAGGAAGGATGATGCGCGAAGGAGAAAGGGGAAATAGAGGGAAGGAGTCGGAAGATGAAGAGTCGGAGGAGTCGAGAAAACCACTGTGGAAGAGGGTTTTGTCGCTGATGAGAAATGAGCAGCTGTCGAGCTGGAGTGGAGTTGCGAGAGATATTGTTAGTGGAAGCAGAGGGGCTTCTCCTCCTCATGGATTCATCATTCATCCTGATGACTGGTAATTTGTTTCTTACGTTCAATGGAAGATAGTGTTACTGCGTTACATATATATGGAAATGAATCCAACACGCAACTAAACAAGGTGCCTACAATTTTACAAATTTTAAAATCTTTTTAACAAATTTTAAAAAAATTTGATTTTATGTAACGCCAAAAAATAAAAAATAAAGTAAGAATGCTAACTATAAAAAAAATAAAAAAACAAGTCTTCTGTTATTTAAAAAAAATTAGATTAATTTCAATATTTTTTTATATTTAATTAAATATTGATATTATATGAGCTCAAAAAAAAATATTTATATTATATGAGATTAAAAATGCAAATTTACTTTACTTAAAACTTACAGAACAATATATGGTCATTCATTGCCAAGTCAACTATTTAGCCTTAAGGGGTTAAAGCTTAAAGTATATTTTATTTTATGTATACTACTACCTCGATCTCCGTTTTGTTTGTCTTAATTTAACTTTCTTAAAATTAAAAAAAATATTGTTACTTTAATGTATGTTATATTAAAATTCTAAAGGTTTTTTTTTTTATAAAATTGATGTTTCATGATTTTTTATATCTAAAAATAATAGTTTATAAAAAATACATTTGAAATATAAAAAAGGTAAAAGGTATTAAAAAAGGAAAGTAGATGTAGTTTTGGGAGAAAATATCATAAGTTCAACTATTTTATTCTTAATTATCAATTAAGTTAATTTGTTTTTTTTTATTTAGGAGAAAAATGATTCAAACTCAACTTTCTGAGACTTAAATAAATTTCTTTTCCACCAATATAAGTGATGACTTTACCTTTAAAAATATATATAAAAGTGATAGCTTTGTACTCTAACAATTTAAGGATAAATTTAAGTTTTATCAAACAAAAATAGTATTAAAAAATGTATTAACAAAAATAAAAATAAATTCTGGCCATGAAGACTTATCTTAATGACAAGGTGGAAGTTCTAGAACCATAAGTGTCAAGCGTCCATTGATTGGTTTGAGTCGAGTTTTTATGGGGCTTTTTTTAAAAAAATTTAAATATGATCTGATTTGATTTATTTATTTTTTATATTAATACTTTAGTAATTTTGAACGTTTTAAAAAAAATTAAAATTAAATAAAATTATGATATTTATTAATGAAATAATATAATTGAGCCAAGTTTAGACTCAATAATCAATGCCCAATCACGGCTCAAATCGAGTTTGGCCCACTAATTTAGACGAATAGCTCAATCTCTGGACACTTTAGAGGTGTCCATGGGTCAAGTTCAAGCCCAGCCTCTATTTTGAAAAGCCGAAGTCTTGCTCGAACCCAACTTGCCTATTTCCTACTATTCAGATATATTTAAATTAATATTTTAATAATTTATAATATATTTTATTTAGAGTTAAAATGAAATAAAAACGTATTATTTATTAGTGTTATTTTGGTTTTGAAATTAGAGCTTCAATAACTCTTCTTCGGATGCCATAAATAGATGAGTTTGAATGGAATTATTATTATTTTTTCTGGAAAAGAATGGAATTGCTTTAAATTCGAATCATTTTAGGTTTGTGCATAGATTAAAATGAAATTAATAATTAAATTTTATAATTTTAATTGGAAGTTCAATTTATTACGATTTTAAAGGGAAAGGATTTTAAATTCAAATTCTTTTGAATTTGATTGGTTTCAAATTCCAATCTTGTATGATCTTGAAGGATAGAAATATGCTTGAATTTTGAGTTGAAATTTTTAGAAAGATAATTGTGTCACCTGTTTCCTTCGTTCTATCAAAAGAGAAACACAAAAAAAACGCTTCCGCTGTCGAGTAATGAGTACCGAGTATGAATGCCCATTTCCAAGTCTAACTCATGCAAAAGGCGAAAGAGCTAAAATGAGGAGTTTGTGACTTTGTATTGTGTGGTTCGGTGGATGAATTGAAATGATGTCGAGAAAAGAAAGAGTGATTGACTGAAGGAGGGTGAAATGGAAACACAGGTGGTACGTGCTGTGGACGCATTTCATACTGGTATGGGCAATCTACTCCTCCTTCTTCACTCCTTTGGAATTCGGCTTCTTCAGAGGTCTTCCAGAGAACCTTTTCCTCTTGGACATCGCCGGCCAGATCGCCTTTCTCTTCGATATCGTCGTCCGCTTCTTTCTCGCCTATCGAGACACTCACTCCTATCGCTTGGTCTACGATCGCAGGCTCATCGCCCTTAGGTCGCTCTCTCTCTCTCTTCGATATTCCTTCTTTCCGTCTGTCGCTTAGCATTTATTCCTCTTTGCTACCAACTAAAACCATTCATTTTTTAAACTGCAGGTACTTAAAATCTCGTTTTATTGTTGATTTTCTTGGATGTTTGCCCTGGGATGCTATTTATAAGGTACCCATTTCTTCTTCCTTCTTCTTTCTCCTTTTTTCTTGCCTTTTTTTAAAAATTTTTTTCATTTATAAAAGTTGCTAAAAGAACCTAAGTTAAATGTTAAAAGCAAAGTTTTGATTGATTAGATATGAGGAATTGGTCATACTGCAACTACTTAGCCTTCGCATGTATATGTATATCTATCTCAAAGATGATCAGTGAAATTTTTTATGGTCATTGGTAAGAGCCTATGTATATTTATGTAAAAAATGATCAGTTATCTCAAGTCAGTTTACTCTGACCAGGTCTGTGGGAGACGAGAGCCTATTAGATACATGCTATGGATTAGGCTAAGTCGGGCTCTGAGAGTGACAGAGTTTTTTGAGAAGTTGGAGAAAGACATACGGATAAATTACCTTTTCACGAGGATTGTGAAGCTTCTTGTTGTTGAATATTATTGCACCCATGCAGCTGGTTGCATCTTTTACTATCTGGCTACAACAGTGCCTCCCTCCAAGGAAGGCTACACATGGATAGGAAGTTTACAGATGGGTGAATACCATTTTTCAAATTTCAGAGAGATTGATATTTGGAAGCGTTATATAATATCTCTTTATTTTGCCGTTGTTACTATGGTAACTGTTGGTAGGTCCTTTCACTTTGTTTGATTTCCATTAGGAGTTTCGGTGACTGGAGAAACTGTGATTGCTTGTGATAAATCTTTTGATTCCTGATTTTGTTTATCTTGCAGATGATTCAATTCAGTATTCTTTCCCTATATTTTAAATGACTGTAACTTATTATTTATTGTTTTCTCAACATTATTTATTATCACCAGACTACTTGTGCATTCTGTGGTTAAAAACTCACCATTCCTAGTACATTGCATTCTTCAAACAATGGGCAAGTGAAATTGCAAAGTATCTATAGTTGGTGGAAACATATTGCATGTAATGATTTTTTACCTCAGGATATTGATGATCTTATAGCCACTTAATAGGTTTTGATAATGTCTGTACAAGATAGTTGTGTTTATGCCCTTTGGTTATATGAGATATATGGATTCTGTTTCGCTCTCTTTTGAAGAGAATTCAATGTACTTGAAAAATTATTGATGTTGGTTTTTTACATACATATGTGTCAAAATGTTAACTAGTCACGAGATCTTGTTTTTGGCACACTTTTAAGTATCTCATGTCTCAGTGATACTCTACATAAATGGTCTTGTTAGTAACAAGCACTGTGTATTTGTTTCTGACATGATGGTAAATGATAGTGGTTCCTTATTACTTTGGATGCTGTATTCTTGGTGCTGATCATGTCCTCTCTTCTGCAGGTTATGGAGACATACATGCTGTCAATGTCAGAGAAATGATATTTGTCATGATTTATGTTTCTTTGGACATGATTCTTGGTGCTTATCTGCTTGGTAACATGGCAGCATTGATAGTAAAAGGATCAAAGACTGAAAGGTTTCGGGATAAAATGACTGACCTTATCAAATACATGAATAGAAATAATCTTGAAAAGCAAATAAGTAAGGAGATTAAAGGCCACCTGAAGTTACAGTATGATCGCAGTTATACCGAGGCAACTGTTCTTCAAGATATTCCAGCTTCTATTCGCACCAAGGTAATTTTTAATCCGTAATCTTCCCGGGTTAACAGACAGCTCAGATTCGACCATCTATTGCTAAAATGAAATTTCTGCATCTAGTAGTATCTTTCTTTTTATGCTTATTCGTAACATTTTTCCTAGAAAATCTGTTCTTTAGAAACTAGCATGGCTTCAGAAACTGCTTGATGTTGTACATGCACATGTAGATTTGCCTATGCATCTTCTAGAGCCATCTCCATATCTATAAACTTGACTTTCATGGAGAGAACCTAGTTAATTTGAATTGTAAGAATATATGAGAATGTTGCAAGGACAACGATTCTGTGATCATAATTTATTAACATGTGAAGTATTAGCTTTAGTGTTTTTTACGAGAAACTTGTTTTCTGTTAAAGAAACCACAATTGTGATTGGTAATTGCAACTTTTGTGGTGCTGTTTGGTCCTTCAAAACAATCAGATGAGTAAATGGAAAACCACCAAATTACTCACAATATTAGGCTTTGTTCAAAAAAGACAGACTGATTTAAATTCTTTTACATAATTATTTCAAACTTACACTGTTTGATGCTAGGTTCAACAGTTTAACTGTAACATCTACGTGGAACCAGCTAGTTGAAGCTTTTTTTCTTCTCTTCTCAGGAGTCATGATTACAGTAAATGGGGCAGGTTTATCATCTTTGAATGGAATCCAGCTCATGTTGCCTGGATTCCTATTCCCCCCTGGCTTGAGTCTGTTGTCCTCATTTGGCCCTCTGTAGTATTTTTATGGCCCAATGAAATTCTTTGACTTGTATTTATTGTATTGATTGTCATTGTGATGTTAAATTTGCCAAAATGTTAAGGGATGAATAAGTCAGGAAGGGATGAATACTTCCAAAGCTTAGAAGAGGTTTAGGGATGAATACTGTAACTATTGCTGCTAGAGAATAGTTGAACTGAATATATAAAAAACTGATAATGAAATTAATCTGTGCAGCAGTTTTAGATGCTGGATTTGTTCATTTTGCATCTATTAACTATTATGTCATTATTTTTCTTGGAAACTCATGGTTCTGGTTGGTTTTATTTTCCAAATTCCTACTTTGCTGATGCCTAGTGGTGCTGGATTTATGCTCATACTATATTACCGGTTATTTCCTTTAACAGATCTCTCAGAAATTATATGAGCCATTCATCAAAGAAGTTTCTCTTTTCAAGGGATGCTCAACGGGATTCATTAAGCTGATTGTAAGCCATTTTATTGCATATCTAAAATCTCTTTTCATTAGTGTAAGCACAAATGGTTTTCATTTTACATTTTATCCTCAATAGGTTACTTTATTGTCATGGAATTTATCAATGTCTTTGATCAGTCATGGATTAGGTCAACTCAACTACGCTTAGTTCTCCCAATTGCCTAGGGGCCCCTTCTATTTCAGAGAACTACCTTTCTTTCAGATTAATGTTTTGAAAAATGCATTCTTCAAAGAATGATTTCAGCTATGTCAGTTGTGTGGTCAATTATACTTTGTAATTCATCAATTTTAAGCATATTTATAGGCTTTGGTTACTACAACTCTTACTCCAACATACTAGCTCTCTGTTTATCTCATGCTCAATGTTTTGTTGTGTCATATGGCAATAGATTAAGGAGAAAAGGTGAAGCATTTTGAACAAAAATTAAGGGCTGTCATTGAAATGAAATGGTTGCAGTGAATGGATTGTTGATTCATCTTTGCATACTCTGTTAGCTTACAAGTTGATGAGCAAGTACTACTATCTAGATAGCAATGGTTATTGTAGATACATGAGGCAGTTTTTACAATAGTGGCACCATGTATGGACCTTGGCACAACTGCAGTAAAACTTCAGAAAGTAAAGAAAGGTGAAAGATTAAAAAGAGGAATTTTTTTTCTATATTCTCAATAAATTATATTCTTTATCTTCTAAATTTATATTGGATGTTGAGACAATAAAAAGAGAAAAATTCAGTTGTTTTGTATCTTCATTTTCCTTTCCTTTTCTTTTTTTGAATGGCAATTTCTTGTTTTTTTTTTCCTCCTTTTTGTTTTCCTTATGATTTTCTTCTCTTTCTTAGTTTCTAATTCAACACAGCAGATATATAGAACAACAATTAGATGCAATGGTTAACCAAGGTTAGTTATTGCACTGAACCATGGTGTCAGAAAATTTACTTCTAGGCTCAAAAATATGATTAATGGTGCAGTGAGGGGTTGGGAGCTTTGTTGTTTAAGTTTGGTATTCAGATTGCCAAATTTAGGCCCTTGGTGAGACTGATAAGGAAGATTTCTTCTTGAACAAAATATCATGGAGACATACATGGAGTAACTCTTTAAGGTAAAAGAATGTCATGGAGAGGACAAGGATGCTTAGAAGCAAGCAGCAAAGCTGAGTTGTTAAAGACCATGCAATTATTTTCTCAGAAAGTTAAATGAATGCATGTAGAGGTGCATTTTTTTAGAGTACTTAGAGGTCATTCAAAACAGCTTGTCAGTAGCTATATCTTGAGTGATGTGTGGTAAGAAATGGAAACTGATTACATGGGTAAACTAAGCTTGTTGTCAAGAGAAACAAGGCTATCAACAATAAAGGTTGAAGAAAATTTCGGAGCAAAGGGTCTTTACCTGATTATGGTTTCGGTTAGGAGATTAGAATAAAGGTCTTACCTTTTAGCACTGCTACATAAACATCATGTGTTTTCTTTTTCCTTTTTTTTGGATGGAAGTGCATGGGGGAAGAGGAATTTGAACCTTAGACCTTATTTCTCCTGAGGAGAGGTAACAACCACTCAGCCAAGTTCTGGTTGCTTTCTGAATCTCATGAGTTGAGCCTGTGCTCTTGCCAAATCTCCCAAGACCTTTGGCATTGACCAGATTCAGTGTGAAGAGCACAGGGTGGTACGATGGAATGTGACATGAAACTACTTTTGAGTGCTTTGAGAATACTCAGTGATAGAAAAAAACAAAGGAAGCGAAAACACTGAATATGTTGCAATGGTGACAAAGGGTTGGTTTTCTAGGAGTTAAAGGTGACATTTAAATTGTAGTATTGACCACAATGAGGTAGCTATTAAAGGAGTTTGGAAATTTAAAAGCAGGGGAAAGTGTAGTAGCATGACAATTGTACTGCTAAGGAAATGGTTTTCTTCATCTGCATAGTAAATTATCCATAATTTCTTTAACATTAGTGAGACTTGTGATGCAGAGTTGAACTTAAATCTAATTACAACTCTAGATGGACAATTGGGGTAACATTCAGTCAGTGTAGCATGAAGAACATGATTGTCGAGTTATAACATCTTGATGGACCTACCCTTAAATTTGTCATTATAATATTCATAGAACATTGGTTTGAATGATGCTTTAGAGTTTGTATAAGGGTTAATTACATGTTTGGTACTCGAACTATATTGTAATTGTCGATTTGATAGCTGAAGTGTTAAAATTCCCAATTAGGTACTAGAACTTTACTTCCCTTGAGCAGTTTGCACATTTGAATAACGGTGTTTGGAAAAGAACATATATCTTATTTAAATATTTTTTCCACTAGAATTCTTATCAAAACATAACTGGAGAATCCTTTTTTTCCACATTACCCATTTGACTAATCCTGTTAGTCAAAGGTGCATAATGCTTAATGGAAGTAAAGTTTGAGTGCCAAATTGTGAATTTTTAAACTATAGATATGTAATAAATAATTTCACTATAGTTTGGATACAAATGTGTGATTAACCCTTTCTTTAAATTGCCCTACGCTAAGTATTCTTGACTTGTCTCAATATACCTTGTAGTTTAAGTTGAATATCAGTTCAATGCAGAATGAAGCTTCTTGTTCCCTATGTTGTATGAGATGAGTGACTTCAACTATGTGCCCTGAACATTTTGTTATGTTTAATATACTATTCTATTTCTTTGTTTCTCTTGTAATATTAGAACTCCATTATGTTTCAAACTCTAAAATCACACCAAGATTTTGGCTTCATAGCAGATTTTGTAAAGAACCTTCCATTCGTTGTGATTTGTCAGGCAAACAAAGTCCATGAGGAGTTTTTCCTTCCAGGGGAAGTGATTATTGAACAGGGAAATGTGGTCGACCAACTCTATATTGTTTGTCATGGAAAACTGGTAAGATTTCTTGGACCAACTCTATGTTGCTGTCTTCAGTTATGTTTAGAAAAGGATGTGTATCTTAGGGTCCGTTTGCTTTGCAGTAAAATATTTTCTGGAAAACATTTTCAAGACTTTTGTTTGTTTGGAAGATGGAAAATTAATTCTAGATGTAAAATATTTTATGAGTCAACAAGGCTAACCACGGAAAATGTCTTATGCCCTTGAAGGGTGAAAAACATTTTACAAGGAACAACAAAAAAACTTTTATACTAAGTTTATAAGTACAAGTTTGGTGAATATTAATATTTAACTTAAAATATTAAAAAAATAAAATATTAATATTTAACTTTAAAAAAATTAATTTAAAATATTAATATTTAAATTGTACAACACTATTAAAATTAAAAAAATATTTTTTTAATGAAACTATTCAATACAATTAAATTTAATTTTTTATAAATGGAATTAATCTTACTAATAATTATAATAAAAAATATTTCAATGATCATTATTTGATGAATGCACATTTATAATAGGTTTAAATCTTATTAATAATTATAATAAAAAATATTTCAATGATCATCATTTAATGAATACATATTTATAAGTATAGGTTTTGGATATTTTATGCAATTGATGAATATTTATATTTTATAGT